CAGTTCGTTGGCCATGAGCAGCATGATGCCCATGAGTTGATGATGGTTCTACTCGACGCTCTGCAGGAGGACTTAAACAAGGTTCAACTGAAACCCTACATCGAATTAAAAGATGCCGATAGCCGTACCGACGACGTAAGTGATTTTATATTGTTCAGTTCCCCCCACTTACGCCATTCGGCTTCCCAATATTAAAAGTGCATGCACACAACGTAATGGTGAAGTCATGTGCTTCGAAGTATTTTCTTCTTGTCTGCGGCGAAGAAAAGGTACGCAAGATTTAACCCTTGTCGAATTATTCGTCTACGAATCGTGTCCACAACTGCCATGCTTTACGGATGCAGTATTAAAACTCTACTGAACCCCCACCATTTAGAACAGACACAGGTGTCTTTATATTGCAAAAATACTTCTTTTTTCTCCTTGGAGGACGGATTTTTCATAATTGTTCCGTTCTGGTAGACTAACTCACAAATCCTGTCTGAGGTGTACCTACCACTGGTTCTTGACGGTAATTACTTCCCTTGGATCCTTTAAAAGTTTTGGTATAATTAGGACCTCGCATTAATTGCCTCTTTCTCTATACTTCTACTTCTCTGTCTGCTGCCAACCGCGGCGATGTCTACCCGCTAAATTTCTGTGAGTGCCATTGCAACAAACAAAGCTGTCCGTGTGCCGTAGCCACACGGAATCCAGTCCGGACTGTCTCCTACGTCGATGTGTAACCGTTAATTTTCTATGTGTGCCATTGTAACAAGCGAGACTGTAGCCGTGTCGTACCAATATGGTGAGCTAATAACACGTCAATACGTAGGCACACACCTTGCCAGCAACTTGCGGCTTATTCCGCCTACGGTCTTCTACACCCTTTCTTGGCAACGGGGCCAGACAAGATGGGTGCGAGAGAGTGCAGTAGGCGCGGAGCAATTCTGCCATTGATATAAATAAATTAACGCACATATCCTGCCCCCTATTTCTATCATGCTGCGGAGAACACATAGGACAGCGCCCGAAATGACGATGGAAATGTACTTTGTGCCAGTCTATATGTCTTCTTGTGGATATTAGAACGAGATCAATCTCCTCCTCGGCATAAGTCGGACAACTTCTTTTCTAGATGAGGAAATAGACAGGCAACCTGGTCATGCGATTGGGTCTCCAAACTCAAGATGTAAGTATTTGACAGATTTTTTCTGTCCGATAAGTGTTTTTTTCAACTGCGAAGCTGCATCTATTTATCTTTCGCCAGTTCATGTCGATGCTATTTCCAATGTAGTCAGCCGCCTTTTTGACTCACTTTCTTCGATTTCCCATCAATATCTTCAACCCCTTTAATGGGCATATTATTCGAAGTCAGGGTTTTTTATCTACTCAACATCCGGGCCATAATAACTAATCACAACGCGATCCTTTTGGTTTCTAAATACACCTCTTAGTTAAGTTTCAGCCATATATGTTTGCCTCAAACCGCGAAGTGCTTTTCCTAAATTTAAAGAAAACTAAGACGAATCCCCAACCAGGACACAAAAACAAGAACCACGGCACAAAATTCAATGGAAAATAGGGCCACTTTTGTGAATAATGATGGGGCACGGGATTATTTTACGTTATTGGAATTGTGCGCGAGGTCACGTCTATTACTTGGGCGGCACATTCCCTTTCCCGTGTCCTGTTTTCAAGATCAGGTGAGTATTAAAAATGCGCGTCATTCTTCAACTTAAATGACTTCCTGCACTGTGTCTTTCCACTGGCACTTTCTATCGTCCATGGCTTTACATCAACGGTCTTTTGTATGATTTCAGGATGTTGCCGATGAAGTCTGGACAAGGTACAAGAAGCGTAACGACTCCGTTATTGTTGATTTATTTTACGGCTTGCTCAAATTGACGGTCTTCTGTCCTGCCTGCAAGTACATATTTCGAGCCTTCGATCCTTTCGCCTCACTCAGCCTGCCCCTCGACGTCGTCCTCACTAATGCCATCATCTTTTGCTCCAATGACAAGTTACAACGTATACGGTGTCGTATTTACGTACCTCCTCGCTGCTCACTCGAGAACCTCCTGCCCTATTTTAATCTGGCACGGCAACCGGATGATGGCTGCAAGGTTTGTTATGACAGCCCATAGTATTCCAGCTTGTTTTTAAATCTGCTTACACGTAAACCTCTGATAGTTTCATCCGGAACGCTGGTATCCGCTCTTTTAACTCTTCATTAACCAGTAGTGCATTAAAGGGAATCCTAGAGATTGATTGTATCCCAACGAAGCCCACCAACGGTGGATTTGTGAATAGCAGTTAATTTGGCTCAATTGTGAAAAATTCGCGGCCTCGGTGGAAGTTTGATCCACACAGCAAAGAAGGCTTTTACGCACCCAACACTCTTCCATTGAGCTATGAGGCTCACTGTGAGTCGTGAATAAAATCCACAATTGACGCTTGTGTCCAAAACGACTGTCCTTCTATCTTCCGGCATCCAGAGGATAACTTCTGTTCCACTGACAGCGCGCAAGTTTTTTCCAGATCGAAAGCGACTGTGTCTATGACCTTTTTTACGGTGAAACGTTGTCCTGACTTAACAATTCTCTTGGTCTGGAATCGCAGTTGACGCCACTACCGCAACTGCCAATTAAGAAAACAAAGTCAGATAAGGAGAGAATTCTGCATGTTCTAGGCTTTCCGAGGTTGACGATGCGAAACCAATTGCATAGCAACTGTCGAGGGTCCAGTATCCGCGCGCACCTGCCTATTTAAGTTGGTTCATATATTCTAGCTTGAGGCCTAACAAGGCAGCTTTGCAGAACACTTTGCCACCTTAAACGCTTTGGTACGTGGCACAACTCCATGAAGAACTTACAGGACAGTCGGGCAACAGTAAAGTTGGTCCACCACCTTAGATATCCCTGGCCCCGAAATTCTGTCTCGCAGGACCGCTGATATTACTATACTTTAGTTTTTACTTTTAATTAGTTTTGTTGAGTTAAGTTTAATTTAACACACAAAAGTTATCTAAGGTGTTTGACCAGCTTGATTTTTACCGATAGTAGTTTCAACCTTCTCATTAGTACAGTGGAAAGTGTACATTTTTATCTTTTGTGTGTTTGTACTACATGATCAATCCGTCAGTTTCAACCTTCGATGTGGATTGATCACATAAAGCAACAAGACAGAATAAGTAAACTGACTACATCTTATAAGTGCAGGTTGGCTCAAGGCACGAGTTCTTGAAATTATTGTATACTGAAACACTGAGTTACAGTTGAACTGTAAACTGAACTACGACCGTTTAAACATAAAGGTTTAAAGTTACTACTATAATGCACAATAACATAGGGCCAATAAATAGGAAATATTTCAGGCTACGCATGCCGAACAAAGAGCTCGAGGAAGATCGTGTCTTACAGATAAAGAAGGATTTGTGGAGTGCTGGATAACAGTTTCTATGCTTCTTGGCCTGTAAAAGTGTTTACCATTCGAAGCAATTAAAGTAGTTGCAACGGCATGTCCGGACCTACCAGCGACCGTTTTGGACTATCGCAAAGAGCAACAGTTGAGTACAAAACATTGGCATAAGTCGTCTTTGTTTTTTGACCTCTCTGTCATCCCCTAGTGCATTATCCTTATCCCTGTAACGTTGGCGTCAAGACCTGTGATCAGCGGATAGGCGGTCACTTCTTTACGTCTTATCCTTTTGCAGACGTTCGTCTGGTTTGAACTGCGAACTTTGAAAGGAAACTCGTGCACAGTCTTCTCGCTATCTACTGTGTAGTCCTAAATATGATGCCATAATTGCCGGCGCCATCTCAAACATTATTGTAGTCGAAGTGCCAGCCCACAGCAGATTGCGTCTTAAATACTCCTGTACGTCCGTCAGGCAACGTGACTCACAACAAACGGCACGGCCTCGACGGGGCACGTGCTCTTGTCGTTCAAACTGTGTTTTTTCTGAAAAGGTAGTTGGAATACCTCGACTCGTTTGCCACCCACAACTTGACTCGTAGGTGAATGATCATCCCGAAGAGAACTGTCGGTGCACAATCATTGACGTTGTTTAGTTAAGAAGAAGACGACTCGATCGCTGGGACAATACGTTTACTCGCGTGACGTTTCGACATCCGTGCTACTGTTTTCTGTTAATGTCTCTGCTGATGAATCCGCGACGGATATTGAAACGTCAGGCGAATAAACGCGTTGTCTCAGCCATCGAGTCGTCTTCTTCTCAATTACTTCCTGAGACTCACATGCTCGTTTGTATTGGCAAGTTGTTTAGTTAATTGGATTCGAAGCCATTCTAACTGCTGGAGGGAGAATTGTCAACTCCTGCGGCTACCAGCTCAGTTATGTGCGCCAAGCAAGTTCATTTCATCTTCTCGGCTCGAGCTTTTGCATGCTTATTGCCCCTGATGCCAGGGTCGAAGGAAGTGTAATATGTGACTGACGCACAGAAACCCACCTTGCTACTGTCTATAAATCCATACAGTAGTCCTCGTTATTAAGGAAACATAGAAATATTTAAATATGCCTGTTTGCGTAAATATTCACAGATAATGAGCAAAATATATCGTTTTACGATTAGGCGTGCGTGGTTGCGAACTTTGAACTGTGCCTCCATTCGGCCACTTGCGTAAGTTTCGCGCGAAGAGAGCAACTAAATACCTGGCTCATACTTTACGGTCATTGTACAGTTAAAGAAACACGGCCAAATTTAATGTTTAGAAAATGACTCCATACACCATAAGCAGACTTCCCCGCTTGCCACATCATCGCCACACCTTTAGGTTTGTTATCAAGTTGAGGTGCGACCAGCCTCACTGTCTGGATGAGGTGGTAAGTCGGGCTTATCTTAGCTCACAGAAATAAAATTGGATTAATATCCATTTGTTAGTCTATATTTTACACAAAAACTGTGGGAATTTGACAATACCATGTCTTGATTTCACCTTGCATTCCTCTTTCGGTTTCACTTTTCTAGTATGTTATTGCTAACATCTATGGACACTACTTGCGAATACTTGAACCGGAGGACATATTAAACTTTCGAGAGTGGAGCTATAAACTTTTCGCCTTTGAGGTCCCCTCTGTAGAGGACAGTACTGTTAGGACAACGAACTGTACAAATGAATCGAATGTGAACCCTTCTGAGACTTTGTGCGACAAGGTTCTTCAAGTACTCAATGCACATCTAGACAAAGAGGAAGTCAAAGAGCAGGCGGAAAAAGAAGGTACTCTGGAACATTGTTCTGGCATTGCCAACCGTTTATTCTGTTTTCGTGAAATAATTATGAAAGGCCTTGCATGGATTCGATTTCATTACACAGTATAGGATTCGAAAATGCATTTTGCAACTCTCCGAAGAGCCCTTCAACGGTTTCCTTTTGCGTCATTTGTTACAAACTGCTCAGTTCTCCACATACTCCGCTATATGGCTTAAGCTTCCAGCCAGCTTAGATGTCTCCACATGTTAGGATTACAGTTAGATAGCATTCGCGGTCATTAGTTCCACAACCCATCACGAATTATAAAGAATCTCGACTGTTTGGTAGGAATCACTGTATATGATTGATTTCTGGAGGTTATGACCTTACTATGATCCAAATCAGGCCTACAGGGCACTTTTATTTCATGTGAAGTTTAGCTTCTTAAATTAGACCTTAAAATGAAATAAATATGTGGCTTACAAAGAAAGTAAATTGTCGTTTAATTGGCGCGTGTCAAACTAGTGTATTTACGGAACGATAGACGAACTTGTTGGCTATTGCTTTATTATACACTCAGAGGAAAGTAATCTGAGGATAACCGCATATGCCACAGAAGTAATATAACGAGGATGTAATTCAATAAAACAAGACAAACGTGTAAGTACTGGACAGTTAGTCATTTTAAAATTATGCAATGGTGTGCAATAGAATCATTTAAAAGCATAAACACTCATAAATTACTTTGGGCACTGCAAATTTCGAGATATAAAAATCACTGTGGGCACATGTGATGAAAATTTTGCGACTTTACAAACAGGAATGCACAAGGTATGACTGTATCCCTTTGTCCCACACAAAATTAGCCAGTGTAAACAGCCATCAAACCGCAGTTTTTTCAGAAACCTATAGAAAGCTGTATGTTGGCATTCTTATCCCGTGTCTCATCCATTATGCCAGCTGGTGACAGATCCGTTGTCGATGTAACCTTTCGACCGATAGTTCCTAATTTGTTTTATTGGTGAACTTGCAATTTAGTGTAAAGGCTTCCGTATAGTAATTTAATCTGGCCAAACTTTTTTCTTTCTCTAATTTTACGGGTTTCCCCATCCCTGTTCACCGAAATCGCTTTTAATCAAACACAATTCAGTTTATAAAATTCTCGTCATTCGTGTCCCATCGCGGTTCTTCGAGCTCAATCACACCGATGAGCTCCATCAGAAGCTGGACCTGGATCTTTGCCTTAAGTTGTTTACCACCAAGGAAATTCTTAGTGCGCAAAGTCCTTGGTATTGCAAAAAGTGCAAGGAGCCCAGACAGGCATCCAAGAAATTTGACTTTTGGCGTTTACCCGAGGTCCTCATCATTCACCTTAAGCGTTTCCGAACAATGTTTCCCATGGAGAAGATCAACGAATTCGTGGATTTCCCAGTAGAGTGAGTCAGCTTTCTGTTTTTGTCCGTGCCACACTTAGACCTGCTTTGCAGGCCCATGAGCAGAAGCACTTGTAATTGCTTATTCTCACCTCTTTCAGAGGCCTCAGAATACTTGATTCGAGGGAAGAGGAACACGTTTATGACCTCGCTGCCGTCAGTAATCACATGGGTGGACTTGGGGGTGGACATTACACTGCTTATGCTAAAAACCGATGCAACAACCACTGGTACTATTTTAACGATTCTTCTACTGGTCCTCTCTCAGGAAGCCCTGTGGTACGCCGTCATGTTTTTGTTCCCATTGTTCTCTTGAATGCACATGCAGTTTTAATAATCCCTTTGTAGGGCCTTGGAGTGTGCAACTAGTTAATTTAATAGAATTCTTAGCGTCACTTTAATTTCAAGTTTTCCCGCATATGTATGAAAAGAATTTGCATACGAATTAATATTTTGGCGACATCTTTTCCGTAAGTTTTATCCGGTCATTGTAACCGTATGCTTTCAGACGTTCGTATGGAAAGGAATTTTTTGCATTTGTTTTTTCAACGCAGCTAATTGCTTCTGAACCATGATAATTGCAGAGTTTGTGCTAGTTGGATCCTCCACTGTATTTCAGGCCGTGTGCCCCACAGGAGAATGGATGCAGGGACGGCGACTTGCTCGTGAATTATATTATATTTATATATGACTTACACTGCATCTACCGCACTGTCTCCTCCCACGTGGACCAGGTGTCATAATAAGACCAAGGAGACCGGAGGCGAAAGAGGACAAAGATTATTGGCGCGGTGGAAACCCACACCTAAGCGTGCCGTCACACCGTCCCATTGAAGCCATATTAAAGAGCCATTGCAGGTCGATCTTCAGCCCACTCCACACAAAAAAAGTCCAGCTGACTGCGAATTTTGGGTTAACCCACTGAGATTGCCAAGTGGTTGATGCGTTCGCGTCGAAGATGCTCCATGAGACCAATATGCGCGCCGAATTACCGTTAACAGCCTGGTCATGTTTAAAGTGATTTGATGATTCGGATCAGAGGCACCTGTGACTTGCAAATCG